TTCGCTTTTAATTGTTGTTATTTAAAACCTCTCTAGTTGTCCACATTAATCGAAGTACCTGTGTCTTTTATTATCTGCCTATGCTTCTAAAACAACATAAATAACATATACAGTATAAAGTATGAAAAATATCTAGCTCTATTGTTAACGTCCTCTGAAAAATTTGGTGTGCAATTTATCACATTTTACTAATCAATGAATAAACAAACTCAACAATCTCTCTTCTGTATTACCAGACAAGGGCAGATGAATGAGTTAAATAATTAGCAAATCTTACCTTGTTTAAGTTGCAGAATCTGCACTATGTTTCAGATGTATGATAAGCCATCTTTATTCCATCTGGAAACATTTTGCCAAGGGGCAAGACTGGTCAATGACCCATTAGCGTAGAAAACATAAAAAGGCCAATTTGCCACACAGATTATTCTCAGGAAGTTCTATACACACTACTTAGTACTGACCAAAACATGCAACATTTTTACTAAAGAGAACTACAATTAATAGTTTGGAGGCTAATAGATGGAGCATGCACAGGAGTGATCTAGTAAAGCTAGTTATTTTTTAAACACCTCCTCATAACCTCTTTACCGTCTGTCATTATGACAAAATATAAAAATGCACATTAAAAAGAATGCAGTGGAACAGATGTTGCATATAGCAGAGCAGGGGGTTGCTTCACTGCCTACCTGGTCAGTTTATGTCCTCTTCTGTAAACAGAAATTGCTGGTGGTCTTGAGCAGTAGTACATGTCTAGATAGCTCAAATAATTGGAAGGTCTTCAAGCCCAAAATGCCACCGACCCCCCACAGGAATAGTAATCCTGCAAGGTGCATTTACCCTTCGGGTTTGGGAATCCAGATATAGAGAATTACGACATGGCTACCTGTAGCATCAATTGACCTGTCAAAGCACATTTCCCCCTTTTTCCTCTGGTCCTGAGCTTTAGGTTGGCAGGGAGGAAACCCGTTTAACACTTCCAATTGAGTGTTGATGCTGGCAGTGATATAATTTGATAGATTGAATTGATCATATGTTTGTGTCACTTTTTTCATACAGTTTTTGTTACATGCCTTGTACTTAAAGGGGCACTGTCACCATTTTGGGGCATTGAAGAATTAGCTGAGACCCCAGATGGTGACAACACCGCTGAGGTTCTGATGGCTTGGGGGCAGGTAAAGATGATATTTACTTATCTTAATCTGTCCCTCATGGGAGCTACTATCTTCCTCCAGTGGGTCCTCTTCAGCTAAGTGGCAGGAATCGACATCACTACTGTACTCTTGGGCTAAAGTACAGCATTGAGGTCTATGAAGGATCCCGTTGGAATTACCTGAAGTAGTCACTAATGAGGGGGGATTTCTAGACAACATTAGCTCCACCCAGTGTCTAGAAGTGTCAGGCATAGGAAATATACAAAGACAAAGTAGCCCTTAATTTGTCTCAGATTGTCTCTTGAACTAGGTCATTTTTTTCCTTCCTCATTGAATATTCTTAAAATAATGGCAATAACTGTGATGTCAAATGCTTACAATGTCCGGTGAGTGTTTAAGACATTACTCATGCTTGTATTAAGACATGTAATTGCTAGTAATTTGTCACTGTTAAGCTATTTAGGGCTGTGACATGTCAGCTGGCAGGAGATAAGATAAGCCCTGTTGGAAAAGACAAGCAAATGGTACTTGGAGTAGTAGTTACATTGTGATATAATCTAGAAACCAGAGACAAGCAACAATCTCTGGTGGGTCAGCAGACCTTTAGAAATGAATACTACGAAACCCAGCCAGTCATAGAAAGAACGCCTTATATAGTTTTACTCTACCAGGTAGTATTACCCTGACCGGAGATGCAAAACTGGCTTAAAAATACAAATATAATTGTTCTTTTAAAATGTAGTTTCTTGCTATTATATGTTTCAGACTTTTTTCTTTCCTGTTAATAATAATAGCACTGTACTATAGACTGTAAGCTCGTTTGAGCAGGGTCCTCTTCAACCCATCGTTCCTGTAAGTTTTCTTTGTAATTGTCCTATTTATAGTTATATCCCCCCTCTCATAACATTGTAAAGCGCTGCAGAATCTGTTTGCCAATAATAATAATAATAATAATATATTGGTTTTAGCCAGTTTAAAATAATAAAAAAAAGTAATAAATTAAAAATGTTTGTTATTGTTACCCATGTATACTGTTTTGTTTTCTGTTGCAGCTGCTTATAACAGGCCTCCCCAATATATTTGTTTATTTAATCATTGTTCGTTTACTTTGCAAACGTAAAATATAAGTCTGTCTGAGGTTAGTGGGAGTCACGGCCCACAACTTTTATATTGCTCGAGTTTAGTGGCGTAGCGTGGATTGCCAGCACTCTGGGCAAGGCAAGTATTGCACCCGATAACTCATGAACCGTAGGCACTCCCCGAGTCCCCTATCGGGCACCTAGATAGTGTCGCTCCTCCTTCCCTACCCGCCTCGTCTCCGTGATGTGTGTGACACTGTGAGTTGCAAAATGTCAAATCCATATCATGCCTAAAGTAATGTGTATAGTCTATACATATTACTTTAGGTGTGAGGTGGATTTGAAAAATGATGCAAAACAACGATTAGTTTCACACACATTATGGAGAAGTGGCGTGCAGCGCAGTAGGAGCGACGCTATTTAGGTGCCTGTTACAGGCGTACCGGTATGATATCACAGCTGTAGTGGTATGGTCCCATTTAATAGGTAATTATATAATGCCGACCAATAGCATTATTTCCCGTTTGAGACCAGCAGAATCTTCAAACAGGAAATCGCACTATTAACAGGCAATATGTCATTCACCAATCAGGATTATATGACGGCAGTATAGCTGTAATTCACATGAAAAACACTGTAAAGTGTTACATATAAATGTTTATTTGCCACGTCATGTTGGAATAAAACTGTGTAGAATATTTGAACATTGGGAGTTTTTTTTGTGTGATGGGGAGGGCACACTAATTTTTATTTATTTTTACTTTCTTTTTTCAGCACGTTTTCGGCCCAAATAAATTTTAAATTGGAAAAATTCTTCAAATTGGATATTTGCCAGCTATTTTAGACTATAAATGTATCATTCTTCTGTCATTTGTAAGCTATTGCATGTCTAGTGAATGAACTGGAAAATGTTTTGTAGTAAAGTTTTAAAGGGGGTCTATCACTTCTCTGGATTTTACACTATTCAATAGAATATTGAAAATCATAAATAACTATGTCTATTTTCTTTTAAATATATATATTTTGAAGATTTAGCATATTAAATCATAATTAAGTTCAGACCATGCAAATATTGCAAATAAAGAGGAGAAATAGCCACATTGTTCCATGTCACCCGTTTCTTGTGTGATTTCTTTATGATCACTTCTAGGTGCAAATAACAGCTTGTAACAGTAATTGACACGGAGCCAAGATGGAGGCACACAGTAGCAGGATAAAGAGGTGGGAATTGCTAATTTTCGACATTTAATTTTATTTTTCACACTTCACAAATACATATTTGTTGAATTAGGCACAAGTAAACATAAAATATAAAAAGAAAAATCCTGGGATGTGACAGTTTTCCTTTAAGACCATGCTAGCGAATCATTGGTTTAAGCAGTGTTTGGAGGAATGGAAGTGTGTTTGTGTGTTTACATGGATGTCCTGCTGTGGTTTGTGCAATTAACTAAATGACTGGACAACATTTTAAACACAGCAACCTGGAAGTGCTTAAACAAGCTCCAACTAGGCTTGGAAATACATACCATAAATCACATCCTGCAAAATCTCCCCACTCTATTAGCACCTAATCTGGCAGTTTAATAATATGCACTTATGTCCAAAATATTAAAAGAAGGCTGGAATTTCTCAAATTAAGCATGTAACTGGGAAATATATTAAATAAATGCTGGGATTTATTCTCTAAACATTGCTACGGTCATTGAATGTATTGGGAATTGTGAAGAATTAAAAAAGGAATGTATTTGCAATGTATTTGTTTTACTGATGAAAAAAGAGGATAATTACAGTGTTATGCAAATAGCATTGTAATATGGTGTCATTGAATCATTTCATTTATTTGATCAAAAACGAAAAAAATCCCTGGAAAAATACAAATATTCAAAAAACAGGATATCAACCAGTCCTACATGTTGCATAACTAAAAATAGGAGTATTTCACAGATTTAAAAGATGAATAAACATTTTGCATTTTTTAAAAAAGATAAGCCGCATCTTTATCAGTGTTTAAAATTGTGTTAAAGCAATAAGCCACATTAAAAAAAAAATACAAACACAGACGCAAGCATGGTAGACATAATAGAAAAAAAAGTTAGTATGTTCTGGGATGGGCACATGTTGCTTGCTCTGTAAAGTTATGTGAGCTTGTATTGTGACACCTGAGCAAAGATCTTTAAATTAATCATGCTTATATGACAAATGTTCATTTGTTTTCTCCAGTGTCAAAGAGAAACAGCACACTGGAGGATTCATCAAATACAACAGTTTTCTCATTCCACATTTAGATTGTTCCATTAGGACCTGAAGTTTTACAGTCTGTTTTATAATTCTCTTTATGGTCAAAACATGACTAAGATTATTCACTAAACCATGAATTTTCAGGAATTGACATATCCCCGCCTCTCTGTTGTTGTAGCGGTCATATTTTCCACTAGTTCTTGGCCAGTTTAAACTTTTGGATACACTCTGTTATAGTAAACGGAGATGCAGACCATGTACACCCATTCATTGCAACAGTGTTCTCTGATGGCAGTGGACTCTCAGCAGGATAATGCACCCTGCCACACTGCAAAAATTGTTCAGGAATGGTTTGAGGAAAATGGGAAGGAGTTAAAAGTGTTGCCTTGGCCTCCACATTCTCCAGATATCAATCCAATTGAGCATCTGTGGGGTGCACTGGAACAGAAAATCTGATCCATGGGGGCTCCACATCGCAACTTGCGAATTTAAAGGATTTGCTGCTAATGTTTTGGTGCAAGATACCACAGGACTTGTTCGGAGTTCTTGTGGACTCCATGATTCGACGCATCAGAGCTCTTTTGGCATCATGAGGGAGACCAACAAAATATTAGGCAGGTGTTTTAATGTTGACTAATCAGTGTATATACAAACATTCACATACAAATACTATATAACATACAGTCACACATGCACATATACATTGTCACATACACACAGTCAAGTGAAGTCAAACAGACACAGTCACAAGTAAACAGTACCACACAGGCAGGCTTTACCGGAACACAGACACACACAGTTATATATACAGTCACACAGTCACCAAATATCCATTACATTTATGGGCACTGGTGTCTAGTGCTTGGGGGAGCAGGGACTCCAACCTACTTTATTCACTACAGGCAGCGGGTGCCAGAGTCATATAACTCCACCCTATCCTCCCTGCTAAACTTGGGTAGAGGATGCTACAAAGAGTGACAGCCGGGAAGGGGGCGCTAGACTGCCTCCCTGCAGGACGCAACTGTGTGTAAATTAAAGTGAGCATGGTAAAAAGGGGTCAGGGTCCGTGCAGATTGATACACAAAAATATTTTTATTTTTTACACTTCAGCACCCTTGGTGCCAAGTAACCTAGATACACCTCTGAGTATAACTACAGGGAGTATTCTTTTTTTTTTTTTTTTATCAGCCCAGACAAAGCATAAAAAGAAGGACCATAATAAAAAAGAAGAAGCTTGATATGACAATAGGGGGTGTCAATTAAAAATAGCAAATTTTAAGTCAAAATAGCAATTTCTAAATATCTAGGAGTCTGAGAATTTTTTACTTTTTGATCCAAACGTGGCACTTTATTGGTAAATCCCAAATAGTTTATGGATTAATTAATACATATGGCACCCAAAATTGTTGAATTGGACAACATCTCCAGCTTAGATGTTTGTAGCTCAGATCTTCCAGCTTTTATTTTCAAGTTGCCCTAGTGAATTTATAATAATTTCTACTTTGATGAAATATCCTGAATATTGTACACTAGGCTGATCAGGATTTTCTTTTAAACATGGATGGAAAAATACAGCTTGGATTATTCCCAAAACCAGAAATTCAGGAATTGACCAGGAACTGTAAAATTTAGATGAAAACATCCACACTGAAAAAAATAAAATGATTATTTCCAACTCAGTTTTGTCTGCAGCTTGGATACTTTGCCTACATTTTGAAATTCTCTTGTCAATACTGAACAATTCTCTGTTTAGTGCATAACCTTGATGGACACTTTAGCAGCTGCATATTAACCTGTGCATTCTTTGTGCCTATCCAGACCTTCTGTGTTTACACATGCATGCGGGGCCTGCCCTGCCCTCCCTAGATATGTTTAAAAACAGGTGCTACCACCCCCCTTTTACTCCCATCCTCCCTCAAATAAAATACATTTCTCCTTCCTTCAACCCACAATGATCACTCCTTCAATTCTCTCATTTAGCAAGAAGCAGGCAAATCCTTGGTTGTATTGTAATGACATCATACCGGCACTGAATACGTCCAACATATTTTGCAGTACTTACTTCAGGGGCATACAAATGTATGCTTATATATGTGACTGTGTATTTATATTTGTGTATATAAGTTCATGTGCATGTATGTATATATATTTATGTATATGTGTATGTATGTATATGTATGTGTTCATGTGTGTATGTGTATGCGTATAAATATATATACACATTTGTCTGTGTATGTATAAAGTGTGTGTAAACGTATGGATATATGTGTGTATATGTGAATAGGTGTATATGTATATTTTATATATATGGGTCTATGTACGTGTAGGCACATTTGTACATGTATTGGTGCTTGTGTGTGGATGTATGTATAGGTGTGCATGTATATATATTTGTGCATTTGGTTGTATTTATATGCATATTGTTGTATGTACTGGTGTGCAATGTGTATGTTCTTGTATATACTTGGACATATACACTACGTGTGTATATGTACATGTGTGTGAGTGTGTGTCTGTCTGTGTATGCTGCATATAGGCCTTCATGCATATCCTGTAACTCTTGGATGGGAATTCACGCACTCTTAATATAAGTAATTTATTTTTTTATCTCCCCTTCTTGCACCATCTTATGCACGGTTTGCTTGTTTGTTTTTTTCTCTCTCTCCCCACTCACTCTGTGATTTTCACACACAATATTTACCCTTTGTGAGAATGGTGTCTATTTTCTATCAAAGCTGTGTTTTATCTGCACTCATGTCGCTTTAACCCCTGTATCACAACTCAACTATGAATTCTTTGTGTCGTCTTCGTTCAGAAATGCTTTAGACTTGATAAAGGGAGGTTCTCCCGAAAGCTTGTAATTACAAAATTCTGTTAGTCCAATAAAAAAGGTATAACAAGATACAAATTGTATCTATTTTTTTACATCTGCATCACTGGACTAATATGGCTCCTTCTCCAAACTCTTCAATCACTCGGTCTCTGTGACACTATCCTCTCTTGGTTTTCCTTCTATCTCTCCCAACGCTCATTTAGGGTCTCCTTTCTAATGATACCTCCTCCCTTCATCCTGTCTATACTGGAGTCCCCCAAGGCTCTGTACTTGGTCCCCTTCTATTCTCTCTTTATACTGCCTCTCTTGGCAAACTTACTACCTCATTGGGATTCCAATACCACCTGTACACTGATGATACTGACATATAGCTCTCCTCCCAGGACCTCTCCCCTGCCGTCCTGCAACGTGTCACTGCTTGCCTTTCCTCCGTCTCTGACTAGATGTCCTTTTTGAAACTCAATCCCTCTAAAACCTTGTCTTTCCTCCTCCTAATACTGATCCTCCTCCTTCGCTCTCCCTTCAAGTTAGTGGTATCCACAATAGTCCATCCTTGCAAGCGCGCTGTCTTGGCGTTATACTTTATTCTGGCCTCACATTTGAGCCTCACATCCAGTCTGTTACCAAATCCTGTAGATTCCATCTTAAAAACATAGCCCGCATCCGCCCCTTTCTTACGCAAGATGCTACTAAGGATCTTGTCCATGCTCTAGTAATCTCTCGCATGGATTATTGTAACTCTCTCCTAATAGGTCCAACTTGTCTCGTTACAACTACATGTCTGTTCGTCCACCCACTGTAAAGTGCTACGGAATTTCTTGGCCCTATATAAATAACAACATAATAATAATAATAATAGGTCTTCCCACAAGTTGTATTGCCCCGCCACAGTCTGTAATGAATGCTGGAGCTAGACTGATTTTCCTCTCCTGTCACTCCTCTCACACCTCTCCCCTCTGTTAGTTCTTACATTGGCTTCCTGTATCCTATAGGAGTCAATTCAAGGTACTAATCCACACCTATAAAGCACTGACCAATTCTAGCCCCTCCTATATCTCTTTACTGATCTGCAGGTATGCCCCTTCTCGGTCTCTCCGCTCTGCCCATGACCTTCTCCTGTCTGCTCGCAGGTGGCTCCTTTCCTTTGGAATAGCCTGCCTACAACCATCAAGCTCTTCCCTAGTCTTCAATCATTTAAAAAGTGCCTCAAAACCCATCTCTTTAGGAAAGCTTATGGCCTCCCAGAGTAACCTCTACCTCACATATCTGTCCCTTGCTCTCTCCTAAAGGGCAGCATTCTATTCTCTCCTCCAGCTCTGCTTCACTCCCACCTTGTTTGAGTGCTAACTCCTGTCCTGTTGTGTTTTACGCCCCACCTCCTTTAGACTGTAAGCTCGTTTGAGCAGGGTCCTCTTCAACCTACTGTAACCTACTTGTCTCATTTATTGTCAAATCTCCCCCTAGCGCTACGGAATATGCTGGCGCTATATAAATATCAGTAATAATAATATAATCTCTACTTGAACACGAGAAAATTACATAAAGAGGAAATATTGTACATAAATAATTGCACACATTCTGTGATAATTTATGTGCTGTTTTTTCTCCTTAATTTTTTTGCTATATTCTGTATTTTATTTTACCAATGTAAACATTTGACATTTTTATTTTTGATATGTATAAAGGGTAACCCCTCTTCCCATATGGTTTTTGTAATTGTTATAATTTTGTTTTCAAATTGTATTATGTTTTTAAAAAAACTTTTTAAAAGAATTTGAAAAGAATTTCTGTTAAAGGGGTCTATAACAAAAGAACAAAAGGAGTATTTGTTTGTTTTCTTTTTTAAATGCCCCCCAGTCTTGACATGATTCATTGATCAGCAGATTCTACAGCCATCAATGTTTGGAGAGGAAACTGCTGAACTACTATGACACAAACTTGATTTTTCTAAACATACATCATTAACTCTTACCATGCCAAGAAAGCAGAGTTTTTATTGCGAGAAAAACTGTTGCACCTGTCCCCAACTTCCATTCATAAAACTTGCTGTATAATAAATACATTTTTTTTTTTTTAAAACTGCTAAATGCGAACTGGGGCCAGAAATCTAAAAATGTGACAGTGGAATATATGCTTATTTGCATTTTTGACATGACATTCTGAGAGATTTGCAAACACGCACTCCTTGCTAGCACTTGCTTTCGAACATGTAGATCATTCACAGCTTTAAATTTTAGCATTTATTTAAATCAGCGGGAAGATTTTTGTTACTTTTTGATCTCGCCACAACTTTAATGAAGTTATCAGACACACTTCACAACTGCTTTTGTACTGAATAAATCAAATTGAGTAAAGCTGTACTCTAATATGATACACAACTATGTTATAAAACATCATGTCATTGAGGAGAGAACATCTACATATGTGAGATGAAGACAGCAAAATCGATAAATCGACAATGTTGCATGTACATATTTTGCTATGTATTATGGGAGAGTTGTGGAAAATAAATATGTATTTATTTTTAATTAATTGTCTTGGAATATACAGAATACTGCTGTGCAACAGTAAATTAGATAATCATTAGGGATGTGCATGGTTCGGCACTTCTGAAATTCTGGACTTTGGCAATTCTGCAATTCCCTAACCCTAACCCTAACCCATAGCGCTAACCCCAACCCCCACCCTATTCTTAACCCTACCCACAACCACTTACACATTTAGGGTTAGGGTTAGTTTTAGGGGTAAGGTTAGGGTTGGGGTTGGGGATAGGGGTAGCAGTAGGCTTAGGGGTAGATTCCTGTCATTATTCCCATAATTGTCCTTAACCCTACCACCAACCACTTACACATTTAGGGTTAGGGTTAGTTTAAGGGGTACGATTAGGGTTGGGGATAGGGGTAGCAGTGGGGTTA